CGAAATATATATAAATATTTCCATCGAAACAGTTATATAAAGTTATTATGGGTGTTACGAAACCGCCCCCACAGCAGAGGCGGGAGCGTGGTAAACAAACGCATCCCCAAAGCGTGCGGGTTGGGGGCGGGCAGAGCCCCAGCGGCCGCCCCGGCCCCCCGGGGATCGGGGGAGAACCGATGGGGATGGGGGGACACACCGGGAGATCTGGGGTCCCGCCCCCGGCGAAGGATCCGCTCTTCGGGTGGGGAAATAAAATAAAAAAAGAATGGGAAAACCTTCAAAAAGTCAGGAGGCAGCTTCGTGTCCCGGTGGGACGGGACCCAGACACGAAGGGGAAAGTTTGGCCTGAAGGGTTAAGTTTGGAGGCAGGTGAAAAGGGAGAAACGCGCCCCAAAAAAGAGCACAGAAAAGAGAAACGCGCTCCAAAGCCCAATTAAAACGTGTTTCTTGAGGAAAGTGCTGAAAGAACACAGATGGGGCTTCAGGTGGGTGAGGGAGGTTGAAGGGATGGGGGGTTGAGTCTTTAAGAGCAATGGGGTTTGACCACCAGGAAAGACAGAATCATAGAATGGTTTGGGTTGGAAGGGACCTCAAAGATCATCCAGTTCCAACCCCCCTGCCATGGGCAGGGACACCTCCCACCAGACCAGGTTGCTCCAAGCCCCATCCAGCCTGGCCTTGAACCCCTCCAGGGATGGGGCATCCATGACTTCCCTGGGCAACCTGTGCCAGTGTCTCACCACCCTCATAGTAAAAAGTTTCTTCTTGAAATCTAATCTGAATCTTTTTTCTTCCACTTTAAAACTGTTTCCCCTTGTCCTATCATTACACTTCCTGGCAAAGGAAGTGAAGGAAGCGAGGTTGAAGCCCACCAGCCTGCCCTACATCCCCACCAAGGGCTGTTGGGTTGAGGGAGGGAAGACTCCTTGGGTGAAAGTTAGTAGGTGATGGCACAGGAAGGTCAGGGACACTTCCAGTCTGTTACTCCTTCACCCATTTACCCCTTTTTAATCTCACTGTCACCAAGTCGAGTTCTCGCCATGCTTTTCAGAGCACCCCATACAACACAAGTAATTTTAAAACTAAGGCTAGAAGTGTTTGTCGGGTAGCTCTTATTTATAATTTATTACCAGGTGGGTTTTGCATATCTCCAGATACGCAAGGAGGCTCCGCCACCTCTCTGGGCACCCTCAAAGTAATATTTTTACAGAATCTTTGTGGTTGGAAGGGACCTTCGATATCATCAAGTCCAACCACACACAAACAAAGAAGAAAAAAAAACACCACCAAAAAAACCCACCCCACAAACAGACACAACCCAACAAGCCCAGACACTAGAGCATGCCCTGAAGAGCCATGTCTACACGTTTCTTAAATACCTCCAGGGATGGTGACTCCACCACCTCCCTGGGCAGGCTGTTCCAGTGCCTGACCACCCTCTCAGTAAAGTAATTCTTCCTAATATCTAATCTAAACCTCCCCTGCCCCAACTTCAGACCATTTCCTCTGTTCCTGTCATTATTCCCTTGGGAGACCGGGCCAACTCCCCCCCCTCTACACCCTCCTTTCAGGTAGCTGTAGAGGGCAATGAGGTCTCCCCTCAGCCTCCTCTTCTCCAAACTAAACATGCCCAGTTCCCTCAGCCTCTCCTCATAGGACTTGTATGACTTTTTCACATGTTCAGACAGAACTCCCTGTGTTCCAGCTTGTGTCCGTTGTCCCTTGTCCTGTCACCAGGCACCACTGAGGCCATCTGTGTGTACAAGCTGCAAGTTTCTCACCTCTTCCTTCAACCAAAGCTCTTGAGCCTGCCAGAGGGTCACAATCCTGCGGCTTTACCTTTAATGACATTGAGACAAGGGGGCAGATGAGGAACTCCTGAATTCCTCAAGAAAGCTCAAGCTCTGGCCACTGTTTTAGGTCTGAGCAAAGGAGACCTCGAAGTCCACACAACCATGTTTCCTCACTTCTGTTTAATTAGAATTCAAGTTGTCTCCTATGCTTGAAGCAGAAGCAGCAACCCAGTCTCAAATGGATGAATTGCAGGGGAGGTTGGACTAGATGACCTTTAAGGAACCCTTCCAACCCAAACTACTCTATGATTCTATGAAATGAAACAGTGTTCTTTTGTTTAACTCGGGGGTTTATGTCTTTTAGGTTTAAGAATAAATCATAGTTCTTTTAGGGATTAGTTTGCAGAAGATAAAATCCACCAGCAAGCTTGAGAGGCCTAAAGTAGCAGCAATGAAACTGGCTGGTTTATTGCATTACCTATGAAGCTTACCTTAATTTATTACCTTTAAAGACAACTACCTAGAAAGCAACTAGAAAGTTCCACAGCTTAGTTTTGTGACTCTACCTGCAAGTGTAAAGAAAGAACTTGACAAATTCAACATATTCACCACAAATTGTGAAGTTTCATAACCCACATCCTCGGGATCCTTTGTGAAAAAGCACAGGGGGAAAAAAAAAAGCACCAAGTAAGCTAATTGTTAGCTCAGCCTTGCATAACAAAAACTAAGAATTGAAACCATGGCAATTTACCTAAACATCCATTTTAATGCTACTGCTTGTCTGGGCATAGACTAAGACTTCAGCCAACGTTAAATCCTTTATGGAAAATACGGTTTTAATAATTTAAGTGCTGCACGTCCATAAAGTCACCAACCTCCAATGAAACCTCCAAGTTTCATCTTTTTGGTGTTTACAACTGGCATATTCTTCCTTAAACATCATACAGTCCTCTCAACACAGCATTTTGGTTATGATCTCTGTTGTCTTTCTTCATGAAAATCCTCACAGGGCTACCCGAGAGTCTTGGCACGCACATAAAAAACAACCAGTGATGAAAATTTGCAAATCAACTTTATTCAACGATGACCGTCATTTAGGCATCGGCAATAGTAACTTCAACTTCTACACCTGGTTCAATGCTGATGGAAGTGATCTGCTTGACGATCTCAGAAGGGCTGTGTAAGTCAATGAGCCGCTTATGGATACGCATTTGGAAACGATCCCAGGTCTTGGAACCTTCCCCACAAGGTGTTTTCCTGGTCGTGATTCGCAGAGTCTGAGGAAAAACCATAGACACAGGGAATTATTTAGTTGACGAATCCACAATCAAATGGGTCCACCTAAAAATTCTGTATGGTATCCATGTCATTCATTGGAAAGTTACTTAAGATCTATTCTACTGATGTTAACACCCCTTCCCCTACATTCAATTTAAAATAATTAATGATTAAAATAAATTGAAGGAGAGATGAGCCCGTTCCATGTTTGACATGTTTTGTACTGAACGGTTGCCTCAAGTGTCAAAGCACTTTGTGAAGTCATTATCTCTTTACACTGGGTCTCTCTCAATTTAGTAGTACTGCTTTTCACCTCACCTTTTTAAAAAAAAAAAAAAAAAACAGGTTTGTGAGTACTTTTTTTTTTGCTTGTTTTCTTAAGTGAAGATTTCAAACAAGAGGTTGGCTCAGAATAGCGTATGAAGTGATCACTGCCATTCATTCCAAGGGTTATCCTCATAGCCAACCACACACGAGTGGAAGCCTTACGCTGCGGCGAGCAAAATCACGTTACAACAGCAGGCAAAAAGCCATTACTCCAAGTTTAAGGTACATTTAAGCTGTTATCAGCCTGAAGATCCTGCATTAAACAGTGGTTCCACAACTCTCACATGATATGATTAAAACACTGGCAAAGCCAGTTCCTAAACCAGATTAAATAATTTCTTAGAAGAATATTAAGAGTTCTAAACTAAACTCTTTTTAAAAAAAAGTGACAAAATATCAATCAAGAAACCAGAGCCTTTCAGTGCTTCTATGTTCACGTAGCAACAACGGAAAGGCCCACAAGAACTGAAGGGAAGAAGCTGCGCTCTCTGAAGTGAGTCATTACGACGTGAAGTTTACAGCACGCTGAAAAACCCCAAATGCTAGCTTCCATTAAAAATTAAATTAGAATCTACTCATCAGCGTTAGGAAGCGCTCTGGGTTGACTTTGTTAGCCAAGTCACATACAGAACAGGCAAAGGCTAACATCTTTAATT